GAAGGTGTTTACTTAGTCGTTGCCTATCAATGGTCATATTCGTCATATTATTTTCCTATCATCTACGTCTAGGTCTTCCTAGTGGTCTCTTTCCTACTGACTTTCCCAAAGAAACCCTATATATTCGTCTTCTTCCCCTTGCGTGTGACATACCCTGCCCATCTCACCTCCTTGACTTATCATTCTAATTGTGTCTAGCGAAGGATACAAGTTATGAAGCGATTAATATGCTCTTAGAATTCTAATTTTCAATCGAATTCCTGATATGGCCATAGCAGTTTTATAGCACTATAAGAGTACAGGGAACGTTTGATTATCACGTCAATTTATTATTCCTGCCTGAAGATGTGAATCCCAATAAGGTAAGTTATTACAGAGTTATGTCTGCTCTGGAAGTTTTCGCGTGCAGAATACTCAGACTCACAGAACTGGGGCCCAGTAAGTCTCACTTCGTGCATATTTACTTTCCTTGTCAGTGAACAAACATACAAATTTATAGAAGATGCGCGTCTGATTGGCGTCCGATATTAGAACAAACGCTGAGATACACGTCGTTGTTTGCAAAATTTACAAATTACTATGACAAGAAAATAGCCGGTCACGGTAGCCGAGCGGTCTAAGGCATGCACTGTCTTCGCTCGCTCAGAAGCCGGGATCGTGGGTTCGAATCGCACTCAGGGCATGGATGTTTGTGTGCGTTTTTCTGTGTTTGTCTACAGGTAGAGGCCTTGCGACGAGCTGATCACCCGCCCAAGGAGTCCTACCGAATGTGTAAGATCTAGAAAAACCGAAGTGAACGGAGAAGTTCATGGAGTTAGGCCTAGGCCCACTGGTGCTGTAGTGTCAAGGGAAAAAAAATGACAAGAAAATGGCCGAGTTGATGTTTAACACGGAGAAGTGTAATTACAAAATCAAACAACGGCGGAGCATGAACTAAACAAAAAAATTAATGTAAGTACGTGTTCATAAACTTGCGGTTCTACTATAACTTAGAATGAAGGACACAAAATAATCAAATCAATATTAAATAATTTACTGAAAAATATTGGTCATAACCTAGGATATAGAATTCCCCAGGATTGTGTTAACCATGGCTTCATTTCATGCTCATAGTGTTATGAGTTGCTGTGAAGCAAAACGGGTGCTAAATCGCAATATTTAGAACGAAATAAAATTAGATACTTGGGAATAAACCAGCTATGACAGGAAACTGTCACTAATGAAACAAGGTATCATTTTTCTTCGAATCATATCAACTGACTGCGATGACGAATAACAAAGCAGTAGTGAAGCGCTAATTTAGTTGGGAGGCATTTCAAGCCGTTGGTAAAAACGCAGCCGCTTCGTATGCTAATGCGGTTAATTATTTACAAAGTACACCACTTCCTTATTACTGGTCTACGTGTTCGAAATTAGGTCCGGCAGCAGCAGGTGCTGTAACCTCCACGCAGTAATAAAATTCGTAGGAACCACGGGGGCACTTACATCCGCGCCGCTAGACACCCGACTGCACTGCACTCGCTACACTGACTGCTGCGCACAACAATGCGCAGGGCACCGGCTATGTTCCTTCAGAATTCACTGAGTCGTGGCGCTGTAGAGAGAGAGAGAATGAAGAAAGATAAAAAAGGAAGCTACAAACATATTAAAACACGTAATAACCAGACGTGGCTTTTCAGCGGTTAAGACCCCTGATTCAAATTAAAATTTCTGTCCAAGAGTCGAGTGCCCTGGAAAGTTTTCCGTGATATTCCTCAGTCCCTTTATATAGTCTGTAACAGTACATTAAGTGATTTAACAACCAACTACTTTCACATTTTTTTATAATTAATCATCCATGCAGTGTAAGTATGAAATTCAGAAAAGTGTGGTCCAATAAACTATGGAACGAAAAAACAGCAAAACAGTATTCCCTCGTTATACAGCCATTTTGATTATGTTGCCCAGCATAGCTACATGCATGTTCTGTCACACAAGTTTCCATGAATATCTCAGCTACAGCGTAAGATTGCTTTGCAACATTCCTTGCTGTAGTGTGCAGGTAAAAAGGGGCAAGAACTACACTCGTAGCATCCTGTGAACACGCTAGATTATTCTGGTTGTTCTAACCACGAGATTATTTTGATAAAATTCAAAACATTGCACCCGTTTTGCCTGGGCGACTGCACACTGAAATGTAGTGCGAAACTTCTGTAATATAACACCCTTTTTACAAGACCATATTTGTGTTACACAAACTTCGCTTTAGGCCATGTTAATACAGGGTGATTCAGAAAGATGGACACAATTTCAATTGGCTATATTTCCTGAATTATATGTTGCATTTGAATTCTGTAAATTACACTTGATTATACATACATGGAAGTTCATAGATAACATCTAGACGGTAGCTGAATTCATCCTACACTCGATGACAAATATCTTGCGTCATTGAGTTCACCGCAGCTGTGATACAGTTTCTTAGGTCATTCAAATTTGTGGGAAGAGGTGGTACACGCCACACAGTTGTTTGCGATAGTCCAAGTTCTCTACTAGCACTACGGGTTGACTTCATTGGGCTGCGCTCAAAGTTCACTCGAATGCACTCCACGTTCTGCTCCGATACACGCGATCGGCCCGGGACGCAGTGATGGAGGGCACTAGCGGTAGTACTAGAAACTTTGTAACATCCTCTTTCAAATGTACTTTACAGAATTCAAATGCAACATACAGTTCAGGAAATATAGTCAATTGAAATTGTGTCCATCTTTCTGAATCACTCTGTATAAGCAACCCTGTGTTCAGAGAGCGACCCTATCCCTGACCGGGAAGCATGTCTGCTATTTACCAAACCCCAACTAAAAATACGTAATTGAGTCGATTTCTGTTGAGTAAGTTATTTAACGAGTTCTGGGATACGGTTCAGAATATTGTCGTAAAAAACTGATTTAAAACTGTAAATTAAGTCATATTAGATTTGTTTTTAAAGTCAATATACCAGCAACTTAATGTATTTAGTACATATGTTTTTGTTTAATTGGCTGAAATCTGTGACCGTCCCTTTACTTCTTTTGCACTTATGTGCCGGCTCCGGTAGATCACTGAACTTCTCCCACGCTCATATCACGACAATAGCTGAGGCAACTGGTAGCTGCACCCTTGAAGCCAGTCTATTGCTCCAAACCAACAACACAACTTCCAATTTCCAAAAACTGTTCATTTATTCAGAAGCGAAATATTACAACTGTTTCTCAAGCAAGAAGTAATATGGCCCTTTAATATTATCAAAATTTAACGTTCCAGAAACACGAGAAGTGCAGCCCAATCACGTCTGACTGCGATTAATTCAAAACGCCTAGTTCCCAAGACAAGCATCTTGTGAGGCGTCGCTTCATCCCTAAGAAGGAATTGAATTGACGGCTTCTCCCCCAGACAAGAATTCGTCTCCAGTTGGCTGATTTTAACTAGCCAAAGTCATCATACGGGGCACGAGGTAGCTTAGTTGGCTAAGGCATTATGTTACAAGCCGGAAGGTCGCGGGATCCAATCCCGATGAGGTCATTGAATTCTTTTTTCAATTGACCGAATCCTTCCAGCCGCACTACGGCCCTGCGGTTGACTCAGCCTCTAACAGAAATGAGTACCAGGAATATTCTTGGAATGTTCTTGGGGGTAAAGGGCGGCCGGCGCGTAAGGCTCACAACCTTGCCACCATCGGTGAGCCGATTGTCTAGAAAATGTGGGAACTTCAACATCTCACAACCCTATGGGCCTCCACGGCATGTTACAGAGATACCTTTACTTTTTTACTTTTAATTTAAAGTCATTATGCAATCAGCACAAGCCAATCGCATGCAGACTTTTGAGAATGAAGCAGTTCCCAAGATACAGAACTCGGACCCCCACATGTAAAAGCGGTTATATTGTTTTGTTTAGTTTAGGGTCCAGCTACACACTTCCGAAAACACTTTATGACAGTTACGCATGTCAACAAAACAAAATTCACATCTTCGGAAAGCTACAGACTTGCCTCCCGTTGTGACCTCGTCTCCTTGCGGACTGTAAGCAAAAACAAGGCAGTTGTTTCCTCTCCAGATACGGAAAGAAATCATAGCTCGCTAATGACCCGGTCGCCTTTCCGAAATGACTAAAGAACGGGGTCCACTCAGCCTCGTGAGGATAATTGAGGAGGTATTTCGAAAAAACAGCGGCTCCGGTCTAGAAAAACGAGATTAAAAGCTGTGGGGATCCGTTGCGCTGACCACGCGACGCCCTCTATTCGCTAAATTTGGCACTAACTTCGCCGACAAGCGGTCGCTGGTCGGTATTGTTCGTTTGCGGACTAAAACCACGGAATTTGTTTTTTGCACGTATTTCATCCACTGTGTAAATTCTGCTATATAATAAGAGGGATTCAGGCATTAGGTGTCAGCTTATATTGAGAGGACAGGATCTATGCCCCCGATACTCGCTATATACTGAGGTCTATTCTACCAACATGAAGACTGCGCGAAACGTCTGCCTGTGTGTCGTTCTGATTGTTGTAATATTTGTAGGCTTAAACTTTCGTGGCCCCGAAATAAACTGCCTAATACTCAGAGCGCTTGTTTTTGGCGACATACAGTGGTTCTCAAACTGTGTGAGACCGCGAACCGGTGAATTTTTTTTTTATCGGACGGGGGCCCGGTACTGGGCCGCGGCCCGGGGGTTGAGAAACATTGGTCTAGCCCAGGGGTCGGCAAACTCCGGCCCACCGCCGCTTTTTCTGCGGCCCGGCGCTAAGAATAGATTTTACATTTCCAAACTCTTAAAAATGTCAAAGTGGGATAATATTTCATGAAACAAGATAATTATTATAATATGAGTTTAATATTTCTGCGTCTATGAAGCTTTATTTATGGGAAGAAACCTACGTAGAAAGAAGAAACGCACAGTATTCCCAACTCACAGGGAAGGAACGATCACAAAAATTAGAAACTTTGAAACGGAGTATTTCATTACAACGCAGTTTCTTCACGAAAATGAAAAATGAAAATAAGGCTGCAAGTAAAGAAAGTCTACGAGTAGCTCATTTGTTAGCCAAGGAAGGAAAACCCTTTACTGATGGTGAGTTAATTAAATCATGTTTGATTGTAGCAGTTGAAGAAATGTGTCCAGAGAAAATGGATTTATTTAATAATATCAGCCTTTCCGCGAGAACAGTTGCCCGAAGAGTTGAGGACATTGGTAGCAACATCACTAACCAATTAATTAACAAGGCAAATGATTTCGAGTGGTTTTCCTTAGCTCTTGATGAGTCGACAGACATTACAGATACTGCTCAATTGCTGCTGTTTACTCGAGGAGTCAATGCTGACTTTGAAGTGACTGAAGAATTAGCTTCTATGAATAGTCTGCGTGGAACAACTACAGGCGAAGACATTTTCAAGGAAGTTGAGGAAATGTTAACGAAGTACAATCTGAAGTGGAATCAGCTAAAATGTGTGACAACTGATGGTGGTAAAAATATGTCTGGAACAGGTAAAGGCTTAGTTATTATTCTTATTGGTTATTCATTGTATCATTCACCAGCATGTACTTTGTGGCAAATATCTTAATATGTCGTGTGTTTTAGAACCAGTCGTGTCAACGGTGAACTTCATTCGTTCTCGTGGGCTGAACCATCGTCAGTTCCGTGATTTTCTGTCAGAAGTGGAAGCCGAATATCCTGACTTACCCTACCACACAGCAGTTCGATGGCTCAGCAGTGGTAAAGTTTTATTAAGATTTTTTGAACTCAGAGAGATTGAAATTTTTCTCAATGAGAAAAAACGCCCTCAACCACTATTATCGAACACTGAATGGCTTTGGAAATTAGCTTTTGCTGCTGATATCATGGGATTTCTTAATGGATTCAACTTGAAGCTACAAGGCAAAACAGTGCTAATATGTGAAACTTATACTGCGGTAAAATCATTTCGACGACAACTGGCTTTGATTGAGTCACAAATCATGTCAAGCTGTTTCGTGCATTTCCCATGCTGTCAAACATTAAAAGAAGAAGTGGATTCCCCATTCCCGCACGAATTTGCAGGTGATATATTTTCTGAGCTCAAAAAACAGTTCCAGCAACGTTTTTCGGATCTTGATGCAAGTGCAGAAGACATTTCCAGATTTGAAAATCCATTTAACTGTACAATTGAGGAACTTCCACCTAACCTTCAATTGGAAGTGATTAATCTGCAGTGTGATAACATGCTAAAAGGCAAATTCCAAGAGAACAATCTAACAGAATTCTATAAGTGTCTTCCAAGTGATGAATATGGTGAATTAAGATCATATGCTCGAGGTTTGATCTCTGTATTTGGTAGTACCTACCTGTGTGAAAAGACATTTTCAAAGATGAAATATGTAAAATCTCAATACAGGTCAGCATTAACAGACGAACATTTGCAATCAATTATGATGATAGGGAGTACTAACTTTGACCCCCAATTTGAAGAAATGTTATCTAAAAAAAAAAATTTCATTCATCCCATTAGTAGCCTAAAGCTGTGTTTCAAACAATGATTGTAGTTCCCTTTGTATTTTTATTATGTTACATTTTCACCAGTAAATTTGTGAAAACTTGTTTTTTAACCTGTTATTTTAACTGTACCGACCTTTAAAGATCCTCGAGTTTGCCTCTTGGCCCTCAGAGTGTAATGTATTTTATATTTGGCCCTTTACGAAAAATCTTTGCCGACCCCTGGTCTAGACGATTGCGCCTGTGATACAAAACGCCTCAAATTACTGTTTTCTGTACTTAGGTCTAGCATCTTTTCTCCATGATGCGTGGAAAAGAAGATACATTCTATGTCATTATTAATTTCGTTAAAACCGACAAAACTCTCAACATTTACCTGCATTCGAATTCACCTCTTTTATTCAATTTTTTATTGCTAGTGGGGTGGGACTAAGTCCCTTTTACTGCGGCCACTTCTTGTCTGTTGTACCAGCCCCAAATGATAGGTGAGGGTGATCGTGGAGCAATTGGTGGAATGAAGATTGGCACGGGAAACCGAAGTACCCGGAGAAAACCTGGCCCAGTGCTACTTTGTCCACCACAAATACCATTTGACCAGACTGGGGATCGAACCCGGGCCGCCGCGGTGGGAAGCCAGCCACTAACCGCTTGAGCTATGGAGCGGCCAAGCAAGTAAGTAAGTAAGTAAGTAAGTAAGTAAGTAAGTAAAAAAGTAAAGAAAGTGAAGTAAATTGTCCCTGTGCTTAACTAATTAAGCAACACGTCATGGAGACGTATGGGGGAGTGGATGTATAGACCCACGTTTCCTTGACCTCGGCACTAGCTGGAGGTGAGTGATGAGCTTCGCGCTCCGGCCGCTTTATCCCGAGGAAAGAGCCACGGTATCTTTGGATAGGAAGCTGGGTGGACCACACAGCCGGCCTAGAAGACGTGAAGAACAAAAAATTCTTGCCCCCATTGGGATTCGAACTCCGACTCCTCGGTCGCTCAACCCGTAGCGACTGCGCTCTCCCGTCTCGCGAGTACGTACAAGAATGATAAGAGGGGGACGAACACCTGGAAGATTGAGCAAGCCGCGTCATTTTATGTGATACGCTTTCATTACTGTAAATCAATATGTAATACTTCCCTTGCTGTAACTTAGAGTGCATGGGAGCTTCTGAGAAGCAGTTTTACTCCCTAATTTAAAAGCTTTTTGTATTCACAGTCACACGCCTTAGAAAATCCCTCATAATATTATCATACTCGTAAAAAATTAAAGATTCTTGAAATTGTGTTTATTTTAGAAATGATATCATAAAAATGTGAAACCCTACTAAGGCCCGTCTTAATACGCATATAGCCTTTCCGTACAAGGACTTGCGCGAAGAAGGTGGTTTTCGTGCTAAAGCGGAATATTCATTTCTGAAGTTATCAGTTCAATTTGCTGGAGGAAGCCGAGCCTGTCTGCAGTATCCGTGTCCATAAGTGCACACTCCACATCCCAGAAAAGGCAATGTTCGTACAGAGGTCAATAGTTTCAGTTTGCACAATTTGAATTCAGAATTCGTAATGTCTACAGCAAGTTTAGTGCAGTAATCCAAAGCTAACTGACAATTCGATCCATCGATATTGTCACGATATGCCCAGACACCCAAACGATCGTGCGCGCGCAGTGGCGATCTACACAAACTCAACCATGTCTCCCAGCCGATGTTACTATGGTAGTGTGGTCTTATCAATGTTCACTGTTTCTAACCACATTTTGCAACGTTGTGATAAAAAAATGAAATTACGTATCTACAAAAGGGCACGCGGTAGCATAGTTGGTTGAAGCACTATGCTACAAGTTGGAAGGTCACGGTTTCGAGTCCCGATGAGGTGGATGTTTTCAATCGACCTAATCCTTCCAGCCACACTATGGCCCTGGGGTTGACTCAGCCTCTAACAGGTATGAGTACCAGGAATCTTCCTGGAGGGTAAAGGACGGCCGGCGCGTAAGGCTGACAACCTTACCGCCATCTGTGAGCCGATTGTCTAGAGAAAATGAGGGAGCCTCGAAGTCTCACAGCCCTATGGGCCTGCACGGTCCGTTACACTGATAGTTTTACATTTACCTTTATGTGTCATACAATAAGAGGCAAGCAAATGTTAAAATTTGGTTCTTTAATGAATTAATTGTTAATCGGTGAAATTTCACGGAACCAATTAACTTCGATTAATGGGGGATGACAATAGATAATGCGTTAATGCCAAATGGGACAGATGATAAATGCGCGCATTATTTTAATTAGAAACCCTGAAACTAAGGGAGAACTTTGAGTCTTATCTTGCGAACTGAAATAGTCTCTTGAATTCCTTGAACAGATTGAGCTGGCTCAGCACATGGACGGGTGAGAGAACCCTCCGAACACGGTACTGAGTGTTCAGTTTCCATAAAATGCTGGAAATATCTTGACCAGCTGAGCGACTATTAGCTGCTTCTTCGTGTACTCGTCTGGTGGGTTATCATTTGAAATTTCTTAAATATTTAAATCCTGGTTCTTAATTTTACCGATGTTTTTCTTCTTCCTCTTACATGTTTTTACATAGCGTCCGAAAGCCGGAAGAGTAAAGCCAGAATAGACGTTCATTGCTATGCAACGACTCGGTAAACACATTCCCGCTGTAATTAATAAGCAAGCAACAATCGAGTAATTTCCGTGCTACGCAACGACGCTGTAAACACGCTTTCCAAACAATAGAGGGGCTGCGTCTACTGCGTGGTCAGTGAAAGGGTATATAAAGAGTTCAGTTGAGAAAAGTTAGTCGAGTTTTGAGATAGCCTGCCAGAATATGAGCTTGGGAGAAGAGGAATTGAATTGAGTCGAGTCTTCGGAATTTGCAGTCACAGAATAATGGCAAGAAAGGAATTAGACTCTGAAAAGAAGATATCATGTCTTCGACGTTTGAAGCCATTCCAAATCTAAGGTTTTCGCTATGGTGCACTGGCAGTGGAGATCCTATTTGTGGATGGCGTCACTTTAAATTTAAAATGGAGACGGTAAAGATCTCCGAAACGTTGGGAATGCAACAACTCTGCATATGGTTCCATGGCAGGGTACACATCTGTATCAATCTTTATTTCTTACAGTGAGGGAATTTAATTTAAGCAACTGGGTCCTCACACTCACTCATGGAGCTGAGCCCTTCTTGAGAAGCAGCCAATTGTGCAACTAATCAAGAATTTCCTAACATTTTATGGAACCCGAAGGTTCATTAACGTGTTCACAAGAGCCCCCCACTGATCTCTATCCTGAGCCAGATCAATTCAATCCATACCATCCCATTTTCTCTGTCTTTAAGATCTATTTTAATATTGTCCACCCACATACGCCTTGGTCTTCCCAGCGGCCTCTTTCCAGCTGGCTTTCCCACCAATAACCTATATGCATTCTTCTTCTCCCCATTTGTGTTACATGCCCTGCCCATCTTATCATCCTTCACTTGGTCATTCTAATTATACTTGAAGAAAAGTACAAGTTATGAAGCTCTTCATTATGCAGTTTCGCAGTTGGGTCCTACACGTATAAATAAATATGTTCTACACATCCCTAGAGTGGCGTGGTCTAAAGCTGTCTGAACAGGGAACTGCGTGCTCCATCGGGGTGTCACTGACTGTCAGTAATTTTCGGCATTTTCTTCTGTTGTTTTGTGACTGTAGAGGGCTCTGATGGGATGATTTCATACACAAAGAGACCTAGCCCGAAATGTTCCATTAACTCAAAATTCATTCTCTGTCCGGACCAACCAGAAGGGTTAATCTTTGAGAATTCGCGAATAGGGAACTTGTTAAGTGGAACAGCATTTAATCGATGTATTGGCAGAGGAGTCCAATTGAATGGCCTGACTTCACAACCTTGGATATCTTATTTGTGAGAACATCTGAAAGTAGGTGTTTCGCTCTGATTAGTCATGAACAAATGAACAAATGGAGGATGCGACCATTAAGAAATGTAATAACATAACTCCGTATTGGATATGAGGTTCTCCCAGCGGTGGTTATGTAGAGTTCTGCTTTGTGGGAGATATCGCCTTGTAAAAGGTAAAGCTATCCCTGTAACAGGCCGTGAAGGTCCATAGGATTGTGAGACGTCGAGGCTCCCACATTTTCTCTAGATAATCGACTCACAGATGGCGGTAAGGTTGTCAGTCTTACGCTCCGGCCGCCTTTTACCCCAGGAAGATTCTTGATACTCATTTCTTTTAGAGGCTGAGTCGACCCCGGGGCCATAGTGTGGCTGGAAGGATTAGATAAACTGAAATAACCACTTCATCGAAACTCGAACCCGTGACCTTCAGGCTTGTAGCATAATGCCTCAACCAACTACGCTACTGCGTACCCCGATATCACCTTGTACGTGTAGTCCGCTTATAGTCAGCCGAAGTTTCGAGGGAAAATGTCGCCTCGATCTTCAGTTTCGAAGAACAAGACAAGCAGACCTCTCTTTTCTATCTGTTTAATGGTGGTTCAGGTCTGCGTTCCAGACTCTATGCATATTTCAATAAGTTTCTGCATTGTGAGTTGTTAGATTCTCACACCAATGATCATGAAGAGAATTATTTTCTGGGGCACGACGCCGTGTAGTCATGTAACCATTTACGGACGTTTCGGAGGAACGTGCTGCCTCTATCTTCGGAGTGGAAGTGTAAGTCCAGAAATAAATAGATCACACAAGAGACTTATAGTGGTTGCTGGTTTTCTCGGCTTACACTTTTACCTGGAAGATGGAGGCAACAGGTTTTATCATTGCTAGTGGGGTGGGACTAAGTCCCTTGTACTGCGGCCACTTCTGCCCTATTGTACCAGCCCCAGATGATAGGTGAGGGTGATTGCGAAGCAATTGGTGGAATGAAGATTGGCAGGGGAAACCGAAGTACTCGGAGAAAACCTGCTCCAGCGTCACTTTGTCCACCACAAATCCCACTTGACCAGACCCAGGATCGAACCCGGGCCGCCGCGGTGGGAAGCCAGCGACTAACCGCTTGAGCTATGGCGCGACCCTCGAGGCAACAAGTTCCTCCA